ATTCCCCCATAGCACAAACAGCTTCACTCACAGCAATCTAGTATAAAAGCATACGGTTTTCCTTGAGTGAGGCTCAAACTTCCTGAGAAATTGGAACTTTCTGTAGCAAGAGTTTGTCACTCCATGCAGCCAAGGAAATGTGCCCTCCTATTCAGATTTCAACTCTGCCTTTAAAGATGCTCCAGAAAGAGTGATTCAGGACAGCTGGCAAAAGAAATATATATTTCTAGGAAAATTATTTGGCTATCAGTACAGCGATGGTGAAACGGCGCAGAGGAATGCAAATCGTACATTTATTCCTGAGTAAATATATATGTCCTATAATTTGACACTACAGCAGCACTCCTCACGCTATGCTGATAGAGTTAAGATATAAAATTTTTCCTTGATTCTTTTTTCTTTCAATCTACAGCAAGGAGGAAATATATATATATATACATGTATTTATTTTTTAAAAAAATATTTCGAGACTTTTTCCCTGGGATATATTGGTTAAGGATCCATGACTACCCAATTCACTGGCAAGTGGTGCATGTTACTCTGTCAAAGTCCCCAGCAATGCCAATCTGTCAGTTCAAAGAAGAAAGAGAATATTTTACCTTTTAGTTACAATGAGCTACGCTGATAGACCTTGTAACAGGGCAGGTAACAGCCAGTCTTTAAATCTGAATTGACATTGATTTACAGAGTTTCATTTCTTTGAATCAAATCTGAGAGAGCGTTTCAAGCCAATTCACTTTTTGATATTACAATTACACATTTCTTAAAACACGAGAGAGTTTTCTTTAAAAAAGAAAAAAAGAACCTCAAGTGCCTACAGAGATAAGATAAAAAGAGAAAGTGATGTTAAAGAAGATATCAAACAAGCACGTTTTTGTTTATTCATCTTTCTTAATTCTTCTTTTTTCCCCACATAAATTTTTAAACGGCCTTGATTTGAAATCCTACTAAGAAATCACATATGTCACGCAGCATTCCTCCTGCCAAACCTCTCTCATCGTGGTATTACTGCAGTATTTGTAACTTTTGATCTGGAAACATCAAGTTACGTAAGATCATGGTTCTGCTCCTTGCAAGGTTGTGATTCTGTCAGAAAATGAACCAGGGAAGCAGGAACTCAAACAGAACCGGAATTGACTTTCCCAGGGAAAAGGCAGTTTTGCTTAAGCATCTCAGATATTTTGAAGTGTTTTATTCTCCTAAGTGGGGAGATGGTAAACTACCAAGTTAAAAATAATCAGAGTGGGCTCTTAATTGGAATAGTATACATACTGTAGAGGGAATGAAATAACATTTTAGTTATTATGCACTCCAGGAAACCAATCCAATAAAATAAAAGCAAAGAAAATTCCTCACTTTGTAAAACAAAAGAGAACAACACTTTCCCTTGCCAACATTACTATCTGTTCACCAAAACAAAAGGAACGCATCTAATTTAAATGAGTTAAGGAAAATAATTAAGCTACAAGGACTTCAAAAAACCAGACTCTTCCAGTGTAAACCTGACTCCTTCCCCCAGATTCACCAAAATCAGAGTGATTGCTCCCTTTTTCCATCCATGTAAGTAAAACCAGTCATCGGGGAAGGGAGAGTATTTCCTCTCCCTGCCCAGCCAAAATCAGATGAGCAGATTTACTCTCTTCTCTCAATGATTTTCCCCTATCCTTTCAAATCAGAGAAGGCAAATTGTTCCAAGAAAAACCTTTTTAAACTAGCCCCCCTTACTAATAAAAAAGGAAACTTCAAAGTTAACTTGTGCGTCTCCTTTTTCTTTTTCCCCCTTCGCCTGCTAAAGACCTGCCTGAGAACCTCTTTCCCCACTAAAGATCCTGTTTCTCCAGAAAAATATGACTTTTTTTCCCCCCTAGATTACAGAAATAAATGATAAGATAAACTGAACACACACACACACACACATCCCCTCCTTGTAAAGATGTGCACACATGCACGCACGTATGGACGGGGAGTGCGAGTGAGCCACAGAGGCAGCAGTCCTTGCAGAAATACAGTAGATCTCAGTGCAGCTGCAAGAATTCCCAGTCCTGGGTTGGGGTTTTTTTGATTTATTATTTTTTTTTGTGGTGGAGGAAACTGAAGCAGGTTGTTTGCAAAGGCACCTCCTCTCCTCTCCCTGCCCCATCTGTGGATGCAACCCCCCCTTCCTGGGGGGTCCGGTGCAGAGCAGCGGTCCTGCTCTCTGGGGGGATGCACAACCCAGGTGACATTTTCACCTGCCTGGGGAATGCCTGGCCACCCACCGCCACCCCACGGTCCCCTCCCCATTCTCAAATTTGCTGGAAATCACCACAGACCCTAATTTTTGTTGCCCATGCGCTGGCTTGGGAGTCATATTGCAAAGAGATCACAGCAGCAAGGAATCCTCCTGGCCACAAAGCCAGCCCACACCAGTAAGGACTGAGCCAGCAGAGTGGTATAAGCTGGGAGCTGGGAATTTTGCAGGGAAGGGCAGCTCATGATGGCCACAAACCAGCAAATTCCTACAGCCTTATAATGCAGGCAGAGCCAAGGGAGCTACTTTGAAGGCTTCTCTCCCTGCAAAACAGGACAGCAGAGATGTTCCTTCCTACCTACCTTTATCCTCCCTCCCCAAGAAAATACAAATAAAAATAAATATCTACATAAACACACTCCCTATTTTTTCCACCCAAGCCTATAAAAGTGCTACAGGCTGAGACACTAAGTGGGAGGTGCCTGGCTCTGAAGAGGCCAATGAAATAAATTAAATACAAACCACGGGCTTAGCCACAGCCTCCCCCAGCAAACCGGGGTGATGATGTTGGGTTCTCGACGGCCGATACCCTGCCCTTGCCCGGACCCGGCGTGTGCAGGCTGCTGGCAAAGTACAGACATAGAGCATAAACCTTGGGTATTGCAGGCACATCTGGTGCACATGTTGGGAGCAGAGCAATTTCTAGGGGAGGGGAGGGGCCACCCTAATAGTAAGCAATTTTATTAGGGTCACTGAAGCAGAAAGAAATCGGGTTGGGGTAGGCTGGGATCCGACAAGTTCCCCTCCCTAACTTCTGCGCCCCACAGGAGGGAACAGCACACGAACAACTTCCCAGGCTAGAGCAGAAGTTTACCTATAGAAAGCACACAGACAACTTCTAACTTTGCTCTCATTTTCTCATTTTTGTGTTCCTCCATTCACACAGGGCTTTTCTCAGAAAATAAATATATTATTTTTTTAATTATTTTTTTTAAGTGCAGCTGTAAATTCAGACTTCATTGCAAAAAAGTTAAGGAGGAAGATGGGGCAGAGGTGGAGAGATTATTTTATAGTTTGAGTCAAGGTTTTCGTGTTTGGTGGTGGGTTGTTTTTTGTTGATCATAAAGAACTGAACTTTCCTGGAAGAGCCATAAGCAAATGCATTCAAGATGTAGAAAGGTCTTGTCTATCTAGTCAATAAGTATTTAGCTATCTCTGCTTTGGCTGTATGAAAAATGTATTTCAGACTCTGTGTCCCATAAGACAAGGAAGACTGTGGCATAATATACCTTGTTTTTATTTTTTTTTTCAAATCATGTGCTTAGATGGTTGTAACCACCGTGAATTTCTAAGCATGGTCATGGTAATAAAAAATAAATACATGCTACCTCATGAATACTCTAGGGTTTTTTAAAATTATTTTTTAAATATTTGGCATGCCTTTACTACTACTTATTTCAAAGTAGCGTACCCCAGACATCCGAGACCAAGATAAAAATAATAAAATGAATGCAAACAACTATCAAGAAATAAATGCCCTTTAGTAGCTGCCTGGTTTTACATTCAACAGCCAAAATTTGTGTTTCAGAAAGCGAATTGCTGGAGATTGTGAGCACGATTGTGAACAACCGCATTTCTCCCAGGCACTCTAGCATCTTTTCCCCAACGCCACTCTGCTTGGAGGGGGCTTCTTCGTATTGCCAGGGCACGGCTGGAAGCTGGGCTTTAGCATCTAATGCCTCGAAGTACAATTGTCCCTCAAGTTGGCCTCGGGAGCGTTTTCCTCATTCTCTTGCTGGAGGCAAACCCACCTTCCCGTGGAAAACAACCGCATTTCTCCCAGGCACTCTAGCATCTTTTCCCCAACGCCACTCTGCTTGGAGGGGGCTTCTTCGTATTGCCAGGGCACGGCTGGAAGCTGGGCTTTAGCATCTAATGCCTCGAAGTACAATTGTCCCTCAAGTTGGCCTCGGGAGCGTTTTCCTCATTCTCTTGCTGGAGGCAAACCCACCTTCCCGTGGAAAATAGGCCCCCCCTTCCCCATCCCCACCCCTGACTCTATCACAGATCCCAATGTAAACATACGCACACACACACACTCCCACCACGCAGCACCCTGCAGCAGGACATGGGGACGGGGAGGAAGGTTCAGATAGAGCTTTTAGCAGCTGAGAAATAACCCAGGCACTTTTTTTCAACCCCCTTCCTCCTTTCCTCCCCTCCCCGCCACCCGCTTTTACTATTACATAAATAACACCGATTGATCTTAAAGCTGCATCCTTGCTCCAGTGCCTCTAAATCTGCACTGCTGCCTTCCCCCCGCCCTCCCCCAGCACAGCCGCACC